ACCAGTGATTCGTGCGGTCCAGCTCGTCGGGGAACGCGCACGTGTGTCGCGGGTCGTTCAGCGTCACGAGGAACTCCTGCTCCGCATGGTCCCGCCAGACCGAGAGCGCGCACCGCTGGGCATTCGCGCCGAGCTGCTGGCAGGCGCCCTCGCAGAAGTTTTGAGCCTCAGCCTGGACGTCGCAGAGGCGGTCCGCGGCCGGGCACGAGAAGTTCTGGATGCCGCGCGGGCAGTACGTGCCTACCGATGCCGCTCAGACATGAGGGGCACCCTATAAAAAGTTAAATGAACAAAAGTTTGAACGCAATGAAAATTCAATTGAATTCTTTTTTGATAATAATGTGAGAGTTTTCTTCTTTTGTTCATTGCGCGCGTCGAGGGGGCGCCGTCGATGCTCTAAACCCTCGGCGCGCGTCGACGAGGCTTTGAGGCGGGCGCCGCGCGGCTGCGCGCGCGTTTGCAGGCGGAAGTCGGAGAAGTTGAACGTCGACGTCTGCGATCCCGCGCGGTGGTCGTCGATGAACGAATCCGTGAAGTCGAAGGTGTGCTTGATGGCCGCGGCGCGCGCAGCGACGAGGGCCCACGCCCACATGCGCAGCGCCATCTTCAAAGGCTCGAGTGAGCCGCGGAGCGCAGCGTCCGACGACGGCGCAATCTAGAAATCAGAGTGGCAGGGTTCCGCACGTCGGGAGGCAGCTACTATTATGGGGGGTCTTGCTCCGGCGACGGCGTCCGATGGCCGACGCGTCGGACGCCCTAACCTGCCGTTTTTTTGCTAGCGCCCAGGGACGCCGGGTGGCTATACGTGTGGCTGGGTTGAATAAAAAACCGGATTTGTGAGGCTCTTGAAGTTTTTGAGTTAGTGGCTCTGCGCGCAAGACGGCGGTGCCGGCTTTCAGATGCAACAAGAATTTTGCAAATCGGTGGCCATGGCGCCGAGATAGAGCTTGCCAAAGGTGCCCATCACCACTGCCAAAGCCCTCTTTACCATCGATTTTCTCGAATCCGATCCGCGCCATTCGATCCGGGATCTTAAACAACCCAGCCACACGTGACAAAAACAAGCGCTCGGATTGGGACGAATGGCTAGCCGTTTCGCTGGCTTGAGTACCAGACACGTACGCGCGGGCCGGGAACGGAGACCTCTGATCGGGCTGTAATTATTACATGGCTTTTTATGCTAAACCTAGAAACCCGCGGCGCCCAACCCCCAAACTGCTCAGTCGTATGAAGGTAGAAATCTCTCACACCGCCCGTGCTGCGACCTCGCGTTTCTCGTCGCGCTCCGCTACTTAGAGCAAAAAGACGTTCGCGCCTCCCACCGGGCCCACGTGCGCATCGTCTCGAGCCACCACTACGTGGCCGCGCCCGACGTCAAGCTCGACGTCGCCCGCATGGCGCCCATGGTCCCGCCGCCGCTACCGCCGGCCCACGAGGCGCCGCACTTCAGCTACCTACCACTGGACACTCTGCCGAACTCGCAGCCCGACGCGGGCGGCG